TTAGTCTTGAACTATTCATTATGTAAGAAACACGAAGATTGCGTGAGGTGTAACGCATTAACCTTGATTGTGCACTTGCGTATGTATGAGGCACAGATTCATTCCCAAATGATAATAATTACTGACCGGATATTAAGTTATTAACTAGAAATCGGGTTCTTGAACTCATCACTAAAATAAATCGCGTGAGATAACTTATGCAGATAGGCTGATTTTTTAAGTACGTAAGTAAAATTTTGTACGTTTACAACACGCAAACGTGGTGACGTTACTACTTTAACCTTATTAGGATCATTTTCCAATAAAACTAATTAACACAGGCTGCTTCATGAGCTAAATAGATGTATAATTGCAAACACCGTTATTGAAACATGGTTCTTCCGATTTCTGTACCTAAATTCATTCGTATAGATCTTTGTCACGCAAAAACTGCTGAACGAAACTGAATGTATCTAGAATAATACCCAAATAGGTGTTTTACATACACATTTTAACTCGGGCGAAGCTGCTAACAGAGACTAGTAAAGTACATTCCTTCTTAGTTCTTCGGGGACGATATAATAACTCACCAAGAATTGCACTCCTCTTCTCCCGGACGCCTTGTGGCTGGACGACCATGACTTCAGTATCGTCTACGGGCACAGGCTGGAGGGCGGCCATCAGAGGGCCGTTCTCAGCCGCCATACTCGCCACAAAGGCTACCAACAACGCGAACACAATCGTGCACACTCTCATTTTGGTCTGTTCTGTTAATAACAAAAAATAATAATAATTAATAACAGTACTTTTTATTATAATTCTTGTCAGACATAATTATTAAATTAAATATATTTTTCGAAATCAATTTCGTCATCAACCCATGAGGCCTATGAGGCCCTGGCGTAGTTCGAAATTAGTCGAGTGATCTTGTCATATAGTTAAGTAAGTAAATCGTAAAACATAAAGAATTTAAAATTAGCTTAGCTTTCATGAAAATCTGTCATTATAACTCAAGAAAATTGGATGTTACATTTAATACTTAATACTGTTATTACATAGTTAAGAAAATTAAAGGCAATATATTATGTTAATTACATTGTTTACAATTTAACGTTTCAATTAATATAGTTATTCGTTTTAAACTACTAAAATTATTATTTTCATCATATACATTGTACATATAAAGCCGGATACTTGCAATCAAAATTGTTCCAAATTAAAATCTTTACGAGCACTTTATATTGGTGAAACCGTGGGTAATATTACAAATAATGAAGTATGTATATAATTTTATATCTATCTATCTAATAGTCTCAAGATAACTATTGTAGGTAAATGAGTACTTAACTAGAGTACTTTATTTAACAATGATTCTTCTATAAACTACGTTTAGAATAATCAACTCCAAAACCCCTTCTTTTTGCAACTCGGTTAATTAACTCGTCGAGTACCGGTTTTGCAGACACAATTATAGAACAATAGGTTGCGGTCACCGGTGACCGCTTGGTGTTTGACAGTTTAATATACTTAACCCTTCTCCTACGTGTAACAGACACTTTTCTGAAAAGCGAACCAAATCGTTCCAGCCAATTGCGAGATAATCGGGCACAAACATACATACCTACATACTGGTCAAACTGAGAACCTCCTTCGGTTGAAGTCGGTTAACAATATATTATGGTTATATATACTATATTCTTTTGACAAAGTTTATATTTCGTGGTGTGTATAAAACCACCGGAAAATATTGATGGTGGCCACAATTTTCTTCACAACATTTTTTTTCCTTAGTACCAAAGTGGTTAGTATTTCGTAAGTTCAAAGCGTTTCCGAAGCTCTTTTCTAACAAAACAAGCAACATAAGAATTATCCCTATGTCATTGTGTTTGTTGATGACAACATAATATGACTTACTAGTACTAATTTAACGATTAATATTTATTTAACTCGTCGAGTACCGGTTATGTAGACACAATTATAGAACAATAGGTTGCGGTCACCGGTGACCGCTTGGTGTTTGACAGTTTATTTAAAACTATACCTCTATTATATGATTTATATGTAAGATTTTTGTATATAATGTTTTTTACGGAATTAGCCGATAAATAAGCTTACGAATCACCTGATTGTAGGCAATCACCGCCGCCCATAGACACCCGAAACACCAGAGGTGTTACAAATGCGTTACCGGCCTTTTGGGGATTAGGGATTTGAGGTTTGTTTGGGTTTTGGGGATTGGGGAGATTGGGCCTCCGGTAACCTCACTCACACCAAGAAACGTAATACAAAACACAAGTGTTGTTTCATGTCGGTTTTCTGTAAGGCCATGGTATCGTTCCGGTCGAGACGGCCTATCCGTTCCGAAGCATGGCTCTCGCACACTTAAAAATGTACTACCTGCATATTAATGAATGTCATTCATTTACAATTTAAACTTCACTTTTACTAACTTCCGCACAACCTTTAAAACTTGAACTCGTTTCGCTAGTTTTGACTTGCAATTTATTTATGTCAAAGTCAATGTTGAATTTTGACCTTCTTTTAGGCCCGCGTTTTGATTACATGGTAAAATTGTATCTACTTATAAGAGTTACAAATTAAACTCGTCAATCTATCTTAACAAAATTTTAATGATGGTATATATATATAATGATATATGATATGATATATTATACCTAATGAATTATAATAATATAATATTACTCAATTTAAGTATTATAAGTAATGAAATCTGAATTTTAATACAGACATGGATTAACTCGTCGCGTACCGGTTTTGTAGACACAATTATAGAACAATAGGTTGCGGTCACCGGTGACCGCTTGGTGTTTGACAGTTTAATGATAAAATTAATGAATTTTATGCATTACTGCACGTATAGGCGAAGCCATAATTAAATTTTATATTTATAAAAAAATTATGTGAATTAATGGATTCGATTATTCGTATCCGTATTCATTACTAACCACTTAGGTATAAATCATACCTATAACTTTATAATGTAACCCTCCACAGGAAATTATGTTAATATTCACGCTACCTAACCTATACCTAATAAAAGATTTCGAGGAAACTACATACCTACATCATAATGTTGCAAGGTTTTTAGGAGTTGTAATCCAACATAATAGACTGACATAATATATTGTGTTACATTTGTCATCTTTTATGAAGATTGGAATTTGTTATAAAAATATACTTAGTCAAACGACATAACTCGTTTAGTATAGTATTAAAAAATGTAGTGATGTGTGCAAAATTAGTTTAAATTCAAACATTAAATTAATCACATGAAAATATTCACTAAAAAGTAACGTCACAAGAATTTTTGGAATATAGTAATATTAAATTAAATTAGATTCTAAAAAACTATATTAAAAAAAACTCAAAAACGGCTTACGCGATTTTATATTGCGGAATTTAAAAATTTGAATAAAAAATCTTATGATAATTTAAAAATTATTATTAATTTACCTGTTTTAAAATATCACCGTCCGATACAAACACTGATCACTGATCTACTGTGCGATGATGTCCTGGCTATGACTTTTATAGGTCGGCGAGGCGAACACACACGCCAACAGATAATAAATATAATCTGCTGCCTTAAAGGAGGTATGTTGTCGCCCCACCTATATCTATATACCGTATATGATTAAATAATTAAAAGTATGTTTGTACTCATAAATTTAAAAAAGTAAAATATACTTAATTATATCACCCTGTTTTTTACCTGTCTACTACTATTTGATAAAAATAAATCA